TCCTGCCAAGAGCAAGCGGCCTGGTCATCCCCTCCTCTGTGGGTGGAGTGAGTGGTCCCTGCCGCACACGGTCGTGGAGGGTTCAGTGAGATGAGGAAGGGAAGGGCTCATCCCGGTGCCGTCTCATGGTCAGCACTGGTGGGGACATCTTTAAAGCCGCCGTCTAGGAGACAGCACTCCCCAGAAGCCCCTTAACCCCCACTGTCCCAGCCATCTGTGCCCAGGGCGCCCCTTCTCCTCCCGGCGTGTGCAGCAATAATAAGGACAGTTGTGGCTTTGGTTTACCAAGGAGTCACTCTGAGCCAGTACCCATAGCTCCGCCTGTACCCCCACCCTGGGAAGTGGGGTCGGTTGTTGTACCCAGTCCACAGGTGAGGAAACTGAGGCTCCCAGGAAGGCCATGGGCCCTCGGTCACCCAGCCTGCATGTCCCAACTCACTCCCAGGTCGGTCCGGCTTGAAAACGTCTGTAATTTAAAGTGAAGATTCTGGGCTCCGCTGAACACCGAGCTAAACAAAGATAAGCGTGACTGCCTACTGAGGGCTTCTCTGGGCCTTTACCCTGCAGGTGTGGGTTGTACATCCCTAAGAGGGGGCGAGAGCGTGCGGCATTTTCTAAGTGGACTTGACCAGTGACCGTCTTCGCTCAGAGCACTTTGTGGGCCAGCAGCCCGAAGCGCTCCATAGAAAATGCATTATGATCATTAGTGTTATAGATCACAGGCTTCTCATAAAATACATGCAATGTATATACTGTAGACTTCCCGGTGGCGTGGAGTCATTCCACAGCAGCCACGTGGCCTGCTCTGTGGTCAGCCCTTCCTGGGAGGAGGAAAAGGAGGAGGAGAAGGAGGACAGACCCTCCTCCGGGGCCGGCAGGGCTGCTGGCAGCTGGGCACCTGGACACCTCTCTCCAGAGCTGTGGTGCTGGCCTCAGCTGAGGGCAGCCAGGGCACTTGAAAAGGTGTCTTGGATCGTGTGGAGGCCCAGAGATGCTTCCCACAAAGACAGACCACCAGGCCCTGCCCTGCCTGCGGAATCTGGAATCTTTAGAGAGTGTGGCCTGAGAGCGTGCATTTTAATCTGTCCCGGATGGCTTTGCTGCTCACTCCTGGGTGAAATCCACCGCTGTCTGCCAGCCGGTCATGCTGACGGTGTGGAGGGGTCTCGGGGAATATCACTGCGGTGGGCCAACCTTCCCCCAGGCCACAGCCAGGCTGTTCCCTGCCCAGTCCTCACCCCTGGGGTGGCGGGGGGTGGGGCGTGGGGCTGCTCGGCTGTTTCTGCAAGTGCTGACGCTCTGCTTCCCCGCAGAGCATGGCCATGGGCATGATGACCGAGTACTACCACTTCATATTCACCACTCTGGTAACATACCTCTGGGCCCTGGCATGGGTCGGGGTGGGGCTCCCTCGGAACAAGGTCAGCCCAGTGCAGCTCGAGGAGGTCCAGGCTGGAGCTGCCTTCCTAGGGCTGTAGGTGTGGCCCCGGGTGAGGGCACAAAGATGTCTCAGTGGCCCACCCACCTGGAGAAGTGACATTATGTGGAGAAGTGACATTATGTGGAGAAGTGACATTACGTGTGACGAAGGGGGGCAGGGGCTCCAGAACCTACCAGCATGAACAGAAGCCCCTCTGCCTACTGGCCATGAGACTCTGGGGAGGTCATTTAACCTCCCTGCCTCAGTTTCTTCCTCTGCAAAATGGGCATAGTAATGGCTTCTACCTCCTAGGATGGTTGTGAGGACCCAGTGAGTTAATAAAGTAAATGCTGAGAGCAGTGCCGGGCGTGAAAGAGCTAGAGGAATACTAGCTCTCATTATGCTGACCCTCGGCTCCTAGCCCACCCTTCCCCACGCAGGTCTCAGGCCTCTAGAAACGACAAGCATGGCCACTTTGGATTCCTATAGCAACCATGCCAGAGTCTGCCCGCTCACTGTCAGCCAGGCCAGCCCACCTGCGGGCTCCAGATGGGTCCTGTCCAAACTCTGAAAACATTTAGGGCCATTTAAACCCATTAGGATAATTAGCTGTGGTCTGAGATCAGCAGAATAAAGAGATCCCTGTGCCAAAGGGGCACCAACACCCAGACACCCGGCCTTGGGTCCAGACGCCTTCTGACCTTACAGGCTTGGGATGGACTCTCCCACCCAGCCCAGGTCTGGGGTGAGGGACAGCGCTCTCACCACCCTGCTGCTGAAACAAGCTCACGCAGTCTGCATCCGCCTCGCCGCCACAGCCCTGCGGGCCTCCCACTGCGCTCCTTCATCCATTCAGCACTCGGCCTGCGCTCAGTGGAGTAGCTCAAGATGACTGGCACCGAGGCCCTGCCCTCAAGGAGCTCCCATCCTGTCCGGTCTGTGCCTCTATGTCCAGCTCAAAGAGCAGGCTTGTGCCATCACAGGCCTGGACAGATGCCCGTGGGGCACAGTGGAAAGAGATGCCAGATGCTGAGGGCCTAGTGGGAGGTGGAAAATGTGATGCAGGCTTTACTGGAAAGGAGATGCTAGAACTGGCCTCGAAGGATCAGTGGGAGTTTACCAAGGAAAAGCAGGAAGGGTATGCCACATAGAGGGAACGGCATAGGCCAAGGCTAAGGGGCAGATTAGCTCCTCAGTGGAGTGCTGGAGCTGGCGCGCTCTGGCTGATTGTGAGAGCTGACTGTGTTCATCTCTTCCCAACTCCACGCTTAGTAATATCACATAGACGGCTTGAAATTGGCCACTGTGGGAGCATTCATACCTCGGAAGTTGGCAAAAGCTACAAGTAAGGGGTTTTTACCCCCTCTCCCCTGAGAGCTAGTTATTAAGCATTTACCAGCACACCACTCTTGTCACCCTCCCTCCACCCCCCACCCACTGCACCCCATACCTAAGGCAGAGGTCTGGAGCCATCCTGCTCCTTCTCCTGATCCAGAGCTCAGACCCGGGGACCTGCCAGGGTGGTGTAAGGAGAAAGGGAACCCCCAAGCTGGTGACTGAGACCAGGCACCTTCTTCCCCTAGTCCCTGGATTCCATGCCCTATTCACCTCTATATGTCCAGTGCCCAAATAGCGCCTGGTACATAGTAGGTGCTCACGAAAGTCTGAATGAATGACTACAATACCAAGTAGCAAGTAATGAGTGAAATTATCAATATCTCCATCACAGCAACAGTTAAGACCTGGACTCTGGGGCCAGTCTGTCTGCCTGAGTTATAATTGAGATTCTTTCGTTTCACCTCTCTGTGCCTCGTTTCCCCTGCTATAAAAGTACACAGTGACAGTACTGCCCGTAGGATGGCTATGCTGAGCATTAAATATGTTGACATCAGTAAAGCACTTAGGAAAGTGCTTGGCATTTAGTCTCCTGTATGAGTTAAATCAATTAATTAAATAAACTCCTGCTAGTGTTTTCTGTGTACTCAGCATACTTCATCTCATCCAAATCCAACTCTTCCAGGGAGGTCTGGCTCCCCCAGTTTCATAGAAACTGAGGCTCAGAGAGGTCGCTCAGCGAGAAAGGGGCGGAGCAAGGATTGTTTCCAGCGGGGAGTGCCCAGCTCCATGTGCTCTGCTGAAGCCTGTGAGCTGAGAGCCTGCAGGAATGTTGCCCGGCCTCTGGCCGGCTCTGATTCCACGTGGTTGGCTGTGATGGTCCAGGCCTGGTGATTGACACTAATAGGAGTAACGGAGCCTCCACAAATCCCAGCAGCACCCATACTTCACAGGTTCCAGAGCCCTTTCTCCACATCATTGATTTCCCTCTTCACAGAGCAGAGTTTGTGCTCCCTGTGGATTGATGGGAAAGCCTGGGACCAGAGAGGTTGAGTGATCTGCCCAGAATCTCACAGCAAATCAGTGACAGAGGCCTGGGCTCCTGACTTCCGGTCTAGCCCATGGCTGTTCCACCCACTGCCCCTCCTCCCCACGCCCCTCTGAGAGCCCAGGAGAACAGACCGCACCAGGGAGGCACAGCCCCCGCCATACAAATAGTTCTGCATGGAGTATGTCGGGGAGAGGGGAGCTTCAGGGTGTCTCCCAGCAGCCCCCCACGTGCCAGGGCATCGGCTATGTCCCCTGGGTCCTCTTCCCCTGCCCGTGTCCTGCTTCCAGCTCCAACTCCAGGACCCTCCTTGCAGCCCTGTTGGCTGAAGTGTTGCCCCAGTGGCTCCGCCTCTGCCCAGCGGTCAGTTGTGGCTGTGTCTGAACGGCAGTGGCACTTGGTATGTATCCCCTTCCCATTAGAAAACCCATGTCACCTGCTCTGCGTCTCTAAAAAATCCTCCCAACTCACTTCTCCCCCGCAGAAGACGGTTCAATTACCCCAGCTGCCATTATCTGAGCCAGCCAGCTTTGAGCCGTTCCCAGATAACCCCGCGTTCACCAGCCCCAGCTGAGCCCCTGGTACATGGCATGTGGAGGTAAAAGCCTGGAGGTGAAGGAAGAATTATAATAAATTAATAGATAAGCAATCACAATTAATGCCACTTCCCTGCAATAACAGTTATATCACGGGGAAGATATTTTCATCTGTCGTTCCTTAAGGCGATGTTTTCGAGCTTCAGCTTCCACCCAGTCAGACCCATGGGGTGCTAATGAATTAGCCTATTATGTTATGCTGAATGTCTCTAAAAGGTCCCTCGTCGATACTGAATTCAGTGTGTCAACATTTGGCACGGAGAACAGCAACTTTTTGCCAAGCAGCAAGGTTGCGCACGGTTCGCTGTGTACAGCACTTGGGGTCTCAGCCTGGGGCAGTTTGGATCCAAACGTTGGAGCTGGACAGAGAGGCCTCTTTGCCAGTGTCCTGTTGTCCCTGCCCTCAGGTCACAGGGAAGGCACATTTGGTGCCCCGAGCCCCACAGCACTTTGCAGCTAAGCCCAGGCTTGAGGGGACAGGAGGAAGGTGACCCCAGCACTGCCTCCCCCTCGTGCCCCCTCCCAGCCTCTGTGTAGGCGTCACCAGGACGAAGGCTGCAGCTGGAGACCAGAAGGGCTGTTGTCACCAGCATGCCAGCGGCCACCGGAGCCAGAGATGCACCCTTTCCACGGGATCCAGCTGTCCTCTGGTCCTAGAGGAGGGAGGACCAGTCACAGAGGCCCTCGGCAGGCTAGTGTTCTGGCATCATTCAGGCCTTAGTGTCAGGTCCACACTGAATTGGACAAGAGGCTGAGCCTGTGCAGGGGCAGAGTGAGGAGGGCTGTGGCCCCAGCAGTTCAGCTCTGGCCCCAGACTTGCAGACACCCCTTGCAAAACAAAATCCCTCCATCTTCCTGACCCACTTCCTTCAAAAGTGGTCCAGGTAAGATCTCTTGTTTCTGAAGCAAGCCCCTGGAGGGTCTCATCCTCCACCCCAGTGACTTACCAAACCACGCCTAACGCCCAGCCCCAGAGGGGCTCCCCCCAGAGGAGGATGGGAAGCACCAGTCCCTCCACCTCGGGCTCTTCCCAGTGATGGTTCGGTCCCCGGAGAGCTACTCAGTGCTGAGCCTTCCTTCTACTTCAGTTGACGAGAGTATTTGGCTCAAGGGCTCATCGGGGAGACAGACACAGACATAGACAGTTGTTTTCAGTGGGGTGAGATCCAGAGGCCCCAGGAGAAGAGCAGAAGCGCCCCTGACCCACCGGATCGTACGTGTGTAGAGGAGCAGTCAGGGAGGCCAATAGGAAGCTACCAGTGTGACTTCGGGGAGAAGTGCTAACAATCAGCTCTCACAGCCACAGCCAGGGTGAGCCAGCTCCACCACGCCATGGGGACAGACCTGGGTACACATTCTGTTCGCCTTTATGGGCTTTATGACCTTAGGCAGCTCCCCTCACCCCTCTGGCCTTGTTTCCTCATTGCAGAGGGAATACTATTGAGTGCCCACTTCACAGTGACTGTGAAGATTCAGTGACAGCCCAGCCAGCATGGCTCAGTGGTTGAGTGTTGACCTATGAAGCAGGAGGTCATGGTTCCATTCCCAGTCAGGGCACATGCCCAAGTTGCCGGCTTGATCCCCAGTGTGGGGCATGCAGGAGGCAGCCAATTGATGATTCTCATCATTGATGGTTCTATCTCTCTCTCCCTCTCCCTTCCTTTCTGAAATCAATAAAAATATATTTTAAAAAAATAATTTTTAAAAAGATTTGATTATACTCCAGTGCAGGATTGAGCATAGTGAGCACCCTCCACTTCCACGGATATTAAGGCCATATGGACACCCTCTGGCCAGTTCAGTCACCATCTCCCATCTGCTCAACACCCTGCATCCTGCTCCCACCCAGCCCCTTCCCCAGCCCCCATCCTGGCCTAGAATCAGGGCCATATTTGTTTCGGCAAAGCTGGGACTACACTGTCTAAGCCTCTCCCCTACTCCCTAAACCTTCCAAGAGGAAATTAACACAATGCCTTCCAGAAGGAGGCCATTGGGGGGCGGGGGGGGACGGTGCGGGAGAACAGAATGAGTTTAGCATCGATTAGGAAGATCTCAGAGACCCGAGGCAGCCAGCACAGGGTGAGCGCTGCTCTGTGGCTCCAGGTTCTATCACTCATCGTCTTCCCTGAGCCATCATCCCCTTAACCAGAGCTGGGCCGTGTGGGGCTGGGTGCTCCCCCCCGATGTCTGTACCACGGAGAGGCTTAGCCAGGGTCCCAGCCACCCTCCCAGCATGGGATGGAGCGACTAAGTCCGAGGACCCACGAGCGAGGACGGCGAGGGGAGAGTGTGGGGAAGAATAGACAGTAGATGAGGAGGAGCCCAGACAATGACCTTTAGACTCCGTTTGCCCACCAGTGGGATGGGACCAACCTCGAGTGTCAAAGTCTGTTTTTTCAAACAGTTAAAAACACAGACTATGGAATGAAACATGTGGCAAAGATGGAACCCACTGGTTAACAAGGGCAGCAGGAGGATGGCAATGTTGGCTCAAAGAGCGTGTGAGGGGCTGAGTGCTCAGGTACTTGATGAGAAAAAACATAGAATACGGCTGCTAGGTTAGATACAAAACGGATTAACGTCCTGCAGGGCCATAAAACCACAACCGTGGCGATGATCCTTTTTGTGAACAAAAATCTACAAGTGAACCCCGAGTCTGGGCCTTGAACCAGTAGCTGAGAGTGAAGGCAAACCCAGGTGTGTTCTCCGGGAGAATCGCACAGTCCCAGGTGGGCAGTAAACCATGTTTCCATGCTGCTCTCCTGCCTTATTTCCAAGTTTGGGGTAAGTTTCTGCTCTGAGGACAGAGTACTGCTCTGCTCCTCATGCTACCACCCCCCAAACACCACCTCTTTTCAGCTAAACACCCGACTTCTCCCTCTGTGTCTGCACCCCCTTCCCAGAGCTGCGGTGGGGGAGAGGGGCCTGGAGCTGGGCTGCCCCATGCATTCAGGCCTGTTTTCCTGGCCCCTTAGGCGAGGGCCTGCCCACGCACCTGGATGTGACCTGGCCCCCAGACAGACAGGCTGGCCACCCTCACTGCTCCCAGGAGGCAGGGGTGAGGATGGAGCCTGTGGTGTTGGGGGGCAGGGGAGAGAAGAAGGCAAGCGCAGCTGTACTCTGAGTCCCTGGAAGGACACTTTTAAAATACTCTCCTTTGCCTGCCGGTTTGGCTCACTGGATAGAGCATCAGCCTGGGGACTGAAGGGTCCCAGGTCGATTCCAGTCAAGGGCATGTACCTTGGTTGCGGGCACACCCCCAGCAGGGGATGTGCAGGAGGCAGCTGATCAATGCTTCTCACTAATTGATGTTTCTAACTCTCTATCCCTCTCCCTTCCTCTCTGTAAAAAATCAATAAAATATGTTAAAAATAAATAAAATAAAATAAAATACTCTCCTTTGGGGAATAAAATCCTTCCTTCAGCCTTACTCAGGGTAACGTGGAGATGCCCAGACCCAGCAGCACGAAGTGGGCCTCCCCGTCGGAGGAAATGACCATCCTGACTGTCATCAGCTACTGTTGGAGGCCGGGCATTGGGCCTGAACTGCTGCACCACATCCTATAAAGGAGGCAGATGAAGAAATGGTCAGAACGGCTTGCTCGAGGCCCGGCAGTGAACACATGGGGTTGGCCACCAGGCAGACGGGTTCCTGTCGACTCTAAGTGCAGTGCTCCCATGGGGCCCCCTCACCTCGGGCCCTGCAGGAAGCTGCAGCGAGGGCTCTGGGGGGCAGCAGGGAGCATGGGCAGTGGGCAGGAGCTCACGGTGGACACACCTTTATTTCCACGAACCTTTCTCTTTCAGGATCTTTATGCGCTAGACCTGGAGCCCTACCGCTACTCGGGGGTGAATCTAACAGGGTTCCGGATCCTCAATGTGGACAACCCCCATGTCTCAGCCATCGTGGAGAAGTGGTCCATGGAGCGGCTACAGGCAGCCCCCCGGGCCGAGTCCGGGCTGCTAGACGGAGTGATGATGGTACGGCAGCAGGGGGGCCAGACCCAGGGCTCCCCTTTCCCTTCGCCTTTCTCCTTCCCTCCCTCCCTCCCTCCCTTTCTTCCTCCCTCCCATTCCTCCTTCCACTTCCTCCCTCCCTGTTTCTTACTTCCCTCCTACCAATCTCCTTCTTAGGTCAGCAGGACCTTAGGCTAGGGGCCAGGACACAAGGGAGCCAGACATAGTCCATCCCAAGGTTGGGAGTGCAGACATGTCAACAGCTGGTGACAGAGCTGGAATAAGCCCAGTGGGTCCTAGGTGTGACCAGCAGAGGCTGGGGAGGCGGGAAGGAGATGGTGCGGGGGCCCAGACAGCAGCAGGGCATGGGGATGGGGCAGAGGGACTGCTCAAAGGTCAGAGCTACAAGGGTGTCAGGTGTCTGCAGAGCAGCAGGGTCACCCAAGCCTGGCCTCTCACCAGGCCCCCCGTGTGCCTGTTGGGGGGAGGGGAAGGGGATAAGGCAGGGGGAGCGGAGAACTCGGAAGCTGTTCTCAGGCAGGCCCTGCACCCTCCCTCCAGACCGACGCCGCCTTGCTGTATGATGCCGTGCACATCGTGTCCGTGTGCTACCAGCGGGCACCCCAGATGACCGTGAATTCCCTGCAGTGCCACCGGCACAAGGCGTGGCGCTTCGGCGGCCGCTTCATGAATTTCATCAAGGAGGTAAGTGCCCCCCACGCCCCCACCAGGGCCATCTCCCCGGAGGTTGTTGGTGCTGCAGAGCGGTCAAGGGCCCAGGTTTGGGAGTCAGGTTCAATGTTCAGTCCACCTGAACTTGGGCAAGTTGCCTTACATCTCGGAGCCTCAGTTTCCTTGAGTGAAAATAGCCATGACAGGACCAATCTTATAGGGTGATGGAGAGGCTGTCCTTGGCACGTAGTAGGTGCTCAGCGGGTGGTCAGCATTGCCAGCAGGACACAGCACGGGCTTCACGTACAGCAGGTGAAGGGCTTTACCTCTGGCTGTGTGATCTTGGGCAAACGCAGGAACCATGCTGGGCCTTGGGTGTCTCGTCTGTACAACGCGGTACAGAGATGAAAGGTGGCCACATGGAAGGTGCTCCGCGCAGTGCAAAGGCAGAGGAGGCTCGGTGAATAGCTGTCAGCCCCACCAACTCCTCTGTACGTCACGGGCCCACCAGCCAACTTCCCAGCCAGGGTCCCCATCGGGACCAGCTCTCCTGGCACCACGGCGACTGTGGAGAAGGCCCATCCATGGAGCTGACTCCAAGGAACCAGAGAGCAGAAGCCTGTCCTGCTGCTGAGAAGGCGGCCGTGGAAGCACACGGGGCTGCTTTTATCTCCAAGGACTCTCTCCAGCACCGCTGTCCTGTAAACGGTGGAGGGCTGTTTATTGTCCCCATTTTACAGATGGGGGAGCTGAGGTCTGGGCTTGCACCCTGGCTCCATCCCAACTGGCTAAGTGACTTTGGCTGAGATGACCAACTCTTGGATCCTCAGTTTCCTCGGCTGTGTCCTGAAGATAGTAAGAAAGTGTGCTACAAAGCGTTGTTGGGAAGACAATGGAAAACTGCGCACAGAGCCCCCAGGGCGGGCCCAGTCAGGTCCCAGTATACGGTAGATGAAGAAGGTTTCAGGGGGACGAGGTCTGGGCAGGGAGCTCCTGGGTCAGAGAGAGTGACCGTGTCCAGGGCAGCAGCACGTGCACTTAGGGCTGTGGCTCTGTATAGACCATCCCTTTGTAGCAACCACAATGGACCAGAAATGAAGCCAGCTGCCTTGGGAGTTCACTTATTCAACAGATACCTGTGTGGGCCTGTGGGGTGCCAGGCAGGGCGCTAACGCAGATGAGCCCAGCACTCTCAGAGCTCGCACCCAGGCAGACGTCCAGCACATCATCACGTTCATGCCTGTATCCCTACCCCAGGAGGAAGGCAGCACTGTGAGGGCGAAGAGCGAAGGAAGCCACCAGCCTCCTCAGTGGGCAGGGCTGCTTTCCCGGAGGCCCCTCCCTCCCTCCTGTGACTGCTTGGGATGAGGCCAGTGACAGCTCTTCCTGCATTTCAGAATGACGCTTACAGGAACGGGGATGAGACACAGGCTGGAGAGTTTGACGCGTGTGCCTGTGGAGTTTCTCTCTTCCTGGCTGTGTGGCTTTAGACAAGTTCCTAAATGTCCCCAAGCATCAGTCCTGTCACCTGGCAAACACCTTCTCAGAGTCGTTGCGAGAGAGCACGTGAGGCCGTGGTGTCCAGTGTCCGCTGTTTTGGTACAAGAGGACCATGGTGGGCCCTTCTCATTCATTCCCTCAAAATTGCAGAGGAAGTTTGATGGGCCACTGCAAGGCCTGGCTGGCCCAGGCGATCATCGGCTTGTTCTCAAGACTCTCTGAGGCCTGACTCCTACCCCCGAGACCTCCTTCCTCAGCAGGCCTCCAGCTAAGTAGCCACAGGCGAGTGTGTGAATCTGCTGACTCCAGCCACAACCCTGGGACCCTTAGGAGCCAGACCAAAGTGGCTTTGAAGCTTAACCACTTTGGGGCTGTGTGACCTTAGACAAGCTACTGAACCTCTCTGTGCCTCAGGTTCTCCTCTGTACAATGGAGATAATACCTGGGTGGTTATAGGATTAAGTGTGTTACGTATGTGTGAAGCCAGGACACCGCCTGGCATAGAGCAGTGCTGAACAGATTGGCTGCTATGCCTATTGCTTCTACCATCACGACTGTCAGTCCTATGGCTTCTTGTCTCCTCGTGGGTTTTTAGCTAACGAGGATATCCAAGCCTCATAGTTTCAGGGACGCCCCCCCCCCACTACTCTGTTCACCCTCACTCCTTGGGATGCTTGAGGCTCAGTGGTAAAGCCCAGATGGGAGCAGAATGGCCACTATCCACGCCATAGAAAGGGGAGCCCCCTTCTCCCTCCAGGGGCTGGCAGGCCCGGGGAGGTGTGCCCGGCCCCTGTTTCCTGGCCCCGGCCCAGTGAATGGCCCCACCACTCACATCCCTTTACAGAGCCCTTTCAGAAGCATCTCTATCTTATCTTCGGTGTGGAGACCGAGAGCCAGGGCAGCCACAGGCTGGCCCATGGTCCCACAGCTGGTCACGACCAGGCAGGTGCCCTGCCGGAGCCCAGCACAGTCTATCCTCGGACCATTTCCAAGTTGCCCGCCTCCCCATCTGACTGCATGACAGTAAATCATTTTAAAGACTTGGCATTTCCGAGAGGAGCTGGAAAATGCCAGGCCGGAGTTCAGAGCGTGTGAAGCATCTTTCATTTAGCGAGTCCGGAGCCTCGGCTGGAAGGGGTGGGGGGGCTGCGAAATGTCACGGGGAGGAGCTGCCAGTGGCTCCCTGCCCAGGCCCTGCCCCTGCCCACCGCCCACAGACAGGCAGTGCACCTGCTGGCATTTAATCCCTCTGGAGCTGTCAAGGGGGAAGGCTCCCCTCCACAGTGCAGGTTTGAAGGCACCTGCTGTGATTTCCCCGGGGACCCGGAGAAAGCCTGAGGTGTGGGCGCCCACTGGGCCCAGAGGGAGGCGGAGGGACTGGGGAGCTGGCCTGAGCCTCCCCTCGAGGTCAGGCACGGTGGTCTTCTCCTTTTCTGACACATCTCTAATCTCCATCCCCAACTCCCTCCGGCTCCCTGGGCTCCATAAATCTCCCATTCGCCCTGGCAGCGATGACCCATGCTCTCCAGCTCTGCCCCTGCCCCTGCAGCGGGTATCTGCCCACCATTGCTTGGGGCCTGCACAGCTCAGTCCCTCTTTGAGCCTCAGTGCCCATGGCTTTAAAATGGGGGCAGTGGTGACACCCACCTGGCAGGATCGGGATGAGAACAGAATGAGTTCATGCAGAGATCAGTCCTCTGCGACAGGGTTTCTACTGAGGCCTCGGGCCTTAGCCCAGGGGACCCCCCACCCCGCAGCCAAGAGCCAGCCCTAATCCAATGGAGCTCCCACAAGGAAGCAACAGGAGAAATTATAGTATATACCACTTAGTCAGGACTGCATACAGTAGCCCCCCCTTATCTGCAGGGGATACGGTCCAAACCCCCCTCCCCAGAGGATGCCTGAAACCGCAGACAGGACCGAGCCTACATGTACTATGCTTTCCCTATGCATACTGTGCTAAAGTTTAATTTGTAAATTAGGCAATGTCATGGTAGAAGATTCGTTCTTACCATAGATCTTAGCAAACTCAGCATATAATTTTTTCCTTTCCTTATTAAGTTGAGAATGTTCACCATGTCACTTAGAGGAAGCCCTTGCCGCTTCTCTTTGGCATATCGGAATTCCCAGCATCAACAACGCCACTCTTGCGCTTTGGGGCCATTAGTGAGTAAATAGGGTGCCTTGAACACGAGCACTGCGGAGGCTTGACAGTCGATCTGATAACGCAGACTGCTGCTAAATGACTAACAGGCGGGGAGTGTACACAGTGCGGATATGCTGAAGAAAGGGAGGGTTTCATCATGCTACTCAGAATGATGGGTAATTAAAAACATATGCATTGTCGCTGAAACCGGTTTGGCTCAGTGGATAGAGCGTCGGCCTGTGGACTGAAAGGTCCCAGGTTCGATTCCAGTCAAGGGCATGTACCTGGGTTGCGGGCACATCCCCAGTGGGAGATGTGCAGGAGGCAGCTGATCGATGTTTCTCTCTCATCGATGTTTCTAACTCTCTATCTCTCTCCCTTCCTCTCTGTAAAAAATCAATAAAATATATTTTAAAAAATAAATAAATAAATAAATAAATAAATTTAGGTTAAAAAAAAACAAAAACATATGCAGGCCTTAGCTGGTTTTGCTCAATGGATAGAGCATCAGCCTGTGGACCAAAGGGTCCCGGGTTCGATTCCGGCAAAAGGCACATGCCTTAGTTGCAGACTCCTCCCCAGTCCGGGCCCTGGTCGGGCTTGTGCAGGAGGCAACCAATCGATGTGTTTCTCTCACATCGATATTTCTCTGTGTCTTTCCCTCTCTCTTCCACTCTCCCTAAAATTCCATGGGAAAATATCCTTGGGCGAGGAGTAACAACAAAAATCAACAACAACAAAACGTATGAATTGTCTATTTCTGGAATTTTTCATCTAATATTTTGGGGCCGCGGGTAACTGAAACCGTGGAAAGCAAATCTGCAGATAAGTAAGGACTACTGTCTGTCAGGCCCTGTGCTAAGCACTTTATACACCTTTGAACGCCTGTGAAGTAGGTAATTTTCCCTTCCTGAAGCTCAGAGAGTAGAGTCCTAGCGCAAAGCCCACATTCTAACCTCTTGTTTGACAGCCTCTGGGAGCCCCAGGGTGCCGGCTAGTGTACCCATTTGCCTGCTGGGCGCTCGTCAGGATGACTTTCCAGCGCCTTCGAGCTGCTCCGGGGCCTATGGATGCCCAAGAGTTTTCCTTTCAGATCAACAGATAGGAATCTGTGAACCCGTGAATTTGTGTGTCCAAGTGTGAGTGTAAGCAGAGGTTCAGCAGCCATTCAGCTGGGGAAAAGCTGGGCCTCTCTCAGAACCTGTAAGGGACCCTGGCCCCAGCGTGCAGTGATGAGCTCAGTGTAGCCAAGCAAGGACTCATAATCAGACCTCCCCTCCCGTCCATGCTCTGGGCCCTCGGGGCGAGGCAGCCGCTGTGGGTTCCTCTCTCCCTGAAATCCCAGCTCACCTTTGTTCCCAAGGACTCCAGGGTGTGTGGGTTTGTTGTTCCCCAGACACAGAAAGCCACACATCCTAGCTTTTACCTGTGTGCCCGCTGTGTCCTAACCCCAAGAAGGAGGGAGAGGAGGAAACCCCTCCGCCTGAGGCAGGGGGGGCCTGGGACCCTGCCTCCAGCTTGGCTCGCCCTCTTCTCCACTCTGAGCTTGGGGCCTCTCTGGGGCTGCTTCCTCATCTGTAAAGCAGGTTCATCACCACCAGGCTTGCTGTGGAGGTTAGCGCCGCGCAGAGCTAACTTTCAGGGCCCACAGGCACACGTTCCCTGCGAAGGGCCAGATAGTAAATATTTAAGGCTTTTCAGGCCAGACGGTCTCTGTAGCAACTATCCAGCTCTGAAGGTGTAGGAGAAAAGCAGCCAACGACTATACATATAGGTGAACACATGTGCGAGGCCGTGAGCTAAGAAACTGTTTTCAAAAAGAGGTATCGGGCAGGTGGTTTGCCCGCCTCTGATCTAGAAGATGGCGCTCTTCTCAGTTCGGGTCCTGAACCTGCTCTGAACCGATGTCTGCTGCTGTGTGAATGATGCTCATGAAAAGCTACCATTTCATTCAGGCCTCAGGTTGTGCCGGGCACCGTTCCAAATATTTTACGGGATTCACTCATTTCACCCTCATCGCACTTTGGTGAGGTGGCTGCTATTGTTAGTTCCATTTTATAGATGAAGAAACCGAGGCTGAGATTGCAATGAAATTCCAATCACACAGCCAGTTGTGCTTGGCTCTAGCATTCTGATGCCACAGGGCTGGGGCTGGGGTGGCAGGAGTGACCTTCTCCATCTCCCTGGCTCTCTGGAGGCCATTCCGGGCATCTGGTCTCCCAGCCGACTTGGCCCCTTGGCCTCTCTGCCTCTCAGCAGGTCTCGCCTGCCCTGCCCGCCTGCCTCCCTGCCCCTCGCCGGGGATCTGACACGGGCTTCCCCTTCTCGTGGCTTCGAGGCGGGGGCTCATTTGAGCGCGCCTGAGATCGATGTTGTACACGGGAAGGTGCAAATGTAAAGCTGGCTAAAGAGCATAATAGAATTTATGGAAATCGCTGGCTCGCACCACAGCCCGAGCAATGATGGAGGTGATTATTAATTAATCATGGTCTTGGGGGAACAGTATCAGTGCGAGGAGTAATTAAAATGAAGCATTGTACAGTTGTACCGAATGATGATTTATGAGCCCGAGGAATTGCCGCTCTGCCCTCTCCTCTCCGGCAGGCTCAATGGGAAGGATTAACTGGACGGATTGTTTTCAACAAAACCAGTGGCTTACGGACCGATTTCGATCTGGACATCATCAGTCTGAAGGAGGACGGCCTGGAGAAGGTGCGTGGGGCGCCAGAGCGGGAGGGGCGAGGCCCATTGTAGCCGACCCAGTGTGGCCCATGCCTTGGCCCTTCAGAGAACACGAAGCCTTGGTCACACGAGGGATGCGGAACCCAGTGGTCTGGCCACGGCAGATACCCAAACCATCGGAGCAAGGGCCTTCAGGGATGTTTAACGTAGAAAAGGGATAGAAGGCTCGTGGGGCAGACAGACTGACTAAGTCTCTGCAGGGCTGTGTGGGGCAGAGAGACAGACATATCCTTGGGTAAGGGAAACTTTCTAAGGACCACAGGTGCCTGCCTGGGGAGTAGTGAGCTCACTGTCTCTAGAAGCATTTAAGCAAAAATTGAGCAAAGCAATTGCTTGTCTGGGACACTGGAGGTGACTCCTACTCTTGCAGAGGGGTTGAAGCATGTGGTTTCTGGACTGCCCTAGGTTTTTGAGGCCTGTATGATTCCAGGGAGTTTGGACAAGAAAGCAGGCCCACCAGGGCCTGGGGACTCCCAGCTGATTGCCGTAGAAATGTCTGCAAAGGGGCCAGTTCTGATGCTGGGAATCTTCAGCACATTCTGACATCAGGCTGCGGGACTGCAAAGTGGGTTCTAACATTAGCCCCTGATTCTCAGTGTTCCCTGGACCTCGGGCCCGGAGCTCAGCCACACTCTCATCCCACTGCAGGCTGGTCCCTGGTATCCCCAGGGCACCTCTCCAACCCTGGGAGCGGGGTGTATAAAATGCAGGAGCAGAGGCCTGGAAGTCAGGGCCAGCACTGGTGCCTGTGGGCCTGCAGGAGTCCCTGATTCCTCATCTCCCTGCCGGCCCTGGGTCAGGCCTCTTCCTCAGATTATTCTGACACTCCCACTGGCTTTCTTTCCACCTCCCTCCTGAGCCTTCCAGCCATTCGAGTGTACACACAGGTGACGCTTCCCAACACACAGCTCTGCCCTGCTCTGAACCTGCCCATGCTCCCCAGTCCTGAGTCAGTAAGCTCCACCCCTCTCCCAGCTTCTAAGGTTCTCAAAATGCCCCAGCCTTCCTCTCTAGGCCTGGTCTCCACTGTCCCCAACAGCACTCCCATGGTCCAGTCACACCCCCTCCCTCCTGCACCTCTGGCCTTCACCCCTGCCATCCACCGTCCTGGTGGCGGGAGTGGCCTCTGACTCCTGGGTTGTACCTGTGGCCAAGGTTTACTCCATTCACTCCAAAGTTTCCCACACATTCACGGGGTCACTGTACTGGGGAGAGGTGGCCAGGGAAACGTCACCAGAAATCCGCGACTCTCTCATGCCGAATGTAGCATCTGTCCCTGAGGACAGGCTGTGGCCTCTGCTCCTCACATCTGCGAGGCCAGTTGATCATACACAGCATATGAGTTCCCATTCAGCAGTCTTCCCGCTTCTATTTAAACTCTGCCATGCTGGGGAGCTCCCTTCCTCCTCGGGCAGCACTATTGCAATATAGGATCCATCCAAGTAGCCATGTCATCTTTGCTCTCTCAGCCGTCCATCTCTGAGGATAGCCTGAAATTCTAAGGATGGCATGCATGCCCCACTTCTCGCTCCTGTACCTGTGGCTGGCATCAGTAACTGGTCATCAGAATGCTCTTTCCCACTGAGCCCACCACAGCACCCCTCTGCCCGCAACTGGCACAAGTTGGCCACAGCTGACACTGGAGAAACATTCTCTGCTGCACCTGGACTGAGGTGGACCCGCAGAGGCCTCCTGCAGAGGCTCCTGATCTCAGATTCCGGGCAGAGAGCCCCTGCAGGCTGCCCCCACCTCCCCCCAGGCCTCACTGTCTCACATCCCCGTGGCAGCTGGTGTCTAGCAGGGCATGCCGTTGGAGCTCAATAGATGTTCCTAGGGCACAGATTCCTGCTGTTCATTTGGCCTCTAGACAGATGTTTGTTGAGCAGCCCCTGCACCCAGACGTGCTGCTAGGGCCCCTCGTGCTGAGCTCGGGCCACTGGAGAGAAGAGCATCTTCCAGGCTGTCTCCTTGTCTCCTCTCCTCTTGCCCTGGGGGGGGGGGGGGGTCTGCGAAGACAGATCCTGCCTGGAGAGGGCACTGAGCCCCCAACACAGCCACTCTGCCTCCCATACCGTCACTTCTGTGTGCTAAGCTGGGTCATAGCTGATCCAGCCAGCTCCAGCCAGTGGCTTTGGGAGGATTAAGGCAGAATTACCCGAGCATAATTACGCATCTCGCTGCTATCTTCCTGGCACAGCTCTCTTAATGGGATGTTTGCACTCAGCTTCTCTGTTTAATTGATTAAGTTTCTGAGGAACCCCCAGCTGGGCCAAGGACAGGGTGGACGTGCTGAAATCGTCCTTGAGAGAGAAGAGCTGAGATTGGGGCAGGGCAGGCCAGAGTTGGATCCAAAAGGACCTTTAAGAGGCCCTGGGCTTTAGAATGATTTGTAAACTTGATCTTTCCTTGTCTCCCTCGGGCTCAGGCCTGATAGCAACAAGGGCACTGTGTGGACAGAGATTAAGCTGCCTTGCCCAGGGTATCTGCCAATTTTGGAAGTAAAACCACAAATCCCTGCAGCATCTAAGGCCCCCAGTGAGGGTCACCCACTCTGTCCTGCCATCCCCCAAACAGATACCAAGACCAGTCTCCTGCCCAGCCTGCCGTCCTGTATGTGACCCATGTCATTGTCCCTGCACTCATTCCGTAGGTGCTATGAACATCTCCCTCCCTTGCTCCAGGTCCTGTCCTGGGCTCTGGAGCTGCCGCTGGGGCTGAGACCCTGTGAGTGAGCAGCTGGCTGCCTGGGTCTTCCCAGGGAGGTGGGAAGCCCACCAGGCTCCGAGTAACTGTCCCAGGGGAGGGCCTGACCTTGACCCTGACTTCCTAATGGCATCTGCTCCACCCACGATGGTTTCCACTGAGTTCCCTCTGTGTCCACCTCTCCCTCTGCATCTCCCCTTCAGCTGTGAAGGGTTTGCCACCAAGGGGATGTGGGAGAATTCAGGAGACTTAGGGGCCTCCTCCTGGGATGAGGGAGGCAGTAGGCAGTCAGAAAGGTTAGTTTCAAACATGTTAGCCATGGCCATGAAGAATGGGATCAGGATGATAGGCTTGTTGATGTGGGAACAGGATGGAGAGAATGAGGACTCAGCACCCTGTTCCCTGTCTGTCTGTCCATCCAGGTTGGGGTGTGGAGTCCTGCCGAGGGGCTCAATATCACAGAGGTCCCCAAAGGCCGAGGCCCTAACGTCACCGACTCTCTGACAAATCGGTCACTCGTCGTCACCACAGTGCTGGTAAGAGCCTGCAGCCCTGCAGGAGGGACTGTCTGGCCTGGGGGTGGGCTGGCCATCGGGGCTGGAGAGACCCCTCCATCGCCCCACCCAGCATTGACCAGGCACCTCCTATGAAGCTGCTGGGGGGCTGGGAAATGGGGTGGGGAACTGGAAAATGGACACATTCAGGGTTGCTCAAAACAGCCCTCTGTGGGTGGTTGGAACACAGCAGCCCTGCTCAGGGCCACAGGCCAGAGGCCTCCTCCCAAAGCCAGAGCACTCGGCCCTCAAGCCAACCTGCGACCTGGTGGCCAGGCCTGCAGAGGCCTGTGTGTTTACATCTCACCCACCCACACCCTGAACCCTGAAGTCTGAGTAGAAGGAGTGGAAGAAAGGAGTTGACCTGATGTCTGAACCAGGACTCGGGTCTACCTCTTCCACCTCAGTCCCCTGAGCAAAGGCCCTCCCGCTGGTCTCCCCTGCCCTATTGCTCTTGGCAACAGTCACCCTACCTGCCGTCCTCCCTCCATTCCCAGACTGAATAGTGCCACCTTCTTCTGATCATTTCAACCCAAGGAGAGGCTTTGGGGGTCTGCTGGGGTCTCTGTACTCTGGAGCTCAGCCTCCAGCATGATCAGAGGCTCAGGACCCACCCTCTCAGGACACAGAACTGCTCTGGGGCCCACGCTAGGCCATGGTGGGGGGAGGCAGCTCGGGCACAGCCTGGTGGATTCTGACCAAAGAGCCTTTGAGGACAATTCTCGCCCTGGTCAGCTTCTCTTTATAATAAAGCCAGATGTTTACAAGGGCCATGTGGTAAGATCATTCTCTATAAAACAAGCCAATAAAAGCGCTCTGTTCATACTGGTCCTTCCACAGGGCTCGTGCAGGCTGGCCACACCCACGTGCAGGCTGGCCACACCCACCTCCCACCGGAGGCAGTTCAGCCCCACTGGATGGATTCGCCTGCAATGTGCTTGGTAGCTGGGTGGTGGGTACCACGGAGCGGGAAGGGATGTAAACCCCATCCTCCCAGGAGGCCCAGTGAGCAGCAGACACCAGGGGCACCATCGGCCTCTAGGGAGCAATTGTGGCCTGTGGGTCTCAGCCCTGGTCTCCAGGGTTATGACTGAGAGGATCCATGTTAAGGTGACAGGGACCTACCAGGGGTTCTGGACAGGCCACTGAGCCAGAACGAGAGGACTGGGGAGACACCTACTCCCGCCAATTTGGGGTGAGGCCCCCCTGGCATCTTCTTCTGACAACTGTATTTCCTGCCTGCCTGCCTTTACTGATCGACTTTTTGTTAACTAAAAAATATATAAAAATTAGACTTTACAACCAGTAAGTCCCAAGGTCTCATTAGGAACAGGGGAGATTTTGTTAAAAAGAAAAAATACACAAAACTCTAAAAGATTAAAAAGAGCAAAGAGATTAGAGTGAAGACTGATGAGCAATTAAAGGAACACTGATGTGGATAAAAATATAAAAAATACAAGGAGATTGGAAAGAGAACAAAATAAAAAGGTTAAAAGGGAAATAGTAAAGGGAAAAATGAAAAGGAACGCTATCAAGAAAGATGAAAAGGGAAAATAAATAATTAACACTCCAGCTAGACATGGTAAGAAATGTAAATCCCGAATGTCAGGAAGCAAAAGGATAAAAGTGTGACAAAGCTAAAATATAAAAGGGTAAAAATGAAATAATACGAAGGTGGTAAAAGATTAAAAGCGGAGCTGCATGGAACGTGAGCTATCAATAAATAAGGCTCTTTTCACACGACAAGATTAAAAAAGGTGAAACTAGTATTGCTCTGAGAAATTAGGAGAGGTGATAAATGAGCTAAGATGACTCAGGCTCAAAACAATATTCTAGCGGGCAGAGGGGCGCTATACACATAACACACCAAAATGATGCCAAACCCACCTTGAAAGACACAGGGTTCTCTTATTAAAATGGCAGCAGCCTGGTTTCAAGGGCAGAAGTCCCTTCGGCAAGGCCACGAGGGATTTTTCTACCCTAGCAGAGGCCAAATCCAGCAGATGTCCCCGTTCTTCCCGAAGTTTCTTGGTCAGTACTCGAAGCTTCTTGCAAAGCTGCAGACCTGCTTGTACTCAGCGGCTCACCAGAGGCCCCTCCCGCCTGCAGCATCCGCTGGCTCCCAGGCTCCCAGGGACAGGGAAGGAGAGAAGCCCCTCTTGGCCCACAGCCTGGACACAGCTCCATCGGTCCCACTGCCACTCACCCAGGCCAACATGAGCCCCCCAGTCCTTTGGGACAAGCAGTGTGAGCAGAACAGGGCCAAGACTGTGTGATGATGGTTAAGATCCCAGAACTGTGGGTTTGAGTCCTGGCTTGACTGTTCACGAGCTCTGTGACCTGGAAAATCATTTAACCATCCTGTGCCTCAGTTTCCCAACTGGAAAAGAGAGGTGGTAATGGTTGTACCTACTTCCTAGAGTTGAGAGGAATAATGATTATTAAGTACAAATGGCACAGAGTGCACGCTGAGTGATAGCTGCTGTTGTTCTTAATTCACATTATTATTGAGTACAAATCCAGTCCCCAGGAGGCGCGGGCTTAATACAGTATTCCACAGGGCTTTATGCCGGGCAGAATGACAGTTCTAGAGAAAACTTCTGCTTCTGTCCCTGAGCCTCGCTGCAGACTGACCCCTGACCATGGTCACAGAGGTTATCTCTAGCACAGGGTGCATTATAAACTTTGAACTTGCACTTGAATGCCTTCCAGGCCCGGTGGGCATTCCCTGGCTCTCCATAGACCCCACCAACCTCTATTGTTTACATGTGGATGCCTCTTATCTAGTTGTTTCCTGACTGGCCCCTGAACGCGAGGCTCTCATAGCTTTAGTCTCATAGCTCTAGTCTCCTACCTATAGGTAAAACTCCAGGTCCCAGCCACCACCTCATCCCCTGCCTTGGCCAACATCTGAGCTCCTGGCCCTGACACCACGATTATTCCCTAGCCCTGGCCCCGTGGCCTTGACCTCTCCCATGGCTGCTGACCCAGATGTCCTTCCTCGGAGTCTTCCAAGAGACTGAGATGCCCACTCCCACACAAGGACTAGTCTGAAGACCTAGAGCTGGCCCAGACCTTCCAGAGAGTGTACCAGAAAGTCTCGGTGTGGCTCGCGTGTCCCCGACCTGGGGTGCCCCAGGCTTGAGCTCTTTGGGGCAGCTGTGCCAGTTGTGGGCAGAGGCCCAGCCCTAGCTGCTCTGGCTGAAAACCCAGCCCTGTGCTTTGGCAGCCAGAAAGCAGGGCCAGCATCACCCGCTGAGAGCACTGGGCCCCTGCCCTTCTGGAAGTGTGTTGCCAGGGCAACAATGCTTTGAGTGACAGGCAGGTAAAAGCAAGAGTACAGGAAGATCCGACTGTTTGCCCCTCACGAACAGGGCTGGCCTGAGACCTCTAGAATCTTGATGTGGCTGAAGGCAGCATCTCTGTGTGTGCTACCTTCTCCCTATCTGAGAGCCCAGGGTTAGTTGCTAGGGACACCTTAGCCTGGACACAGATGGGCAGAGCCCTGACCCCACCCTCTCTGGTCCCTCTTTGCTGCAGGCAGCCTTCCTCATTCCTGAGGCCAAAGCGGCTGCAGCAGGAGCCTGGAAGCCTGCCCTCTCGCCCGCTCCCTGCCCAGCCCCTGCCTCTGTCCTGGTTCAGCTCTTCCATGAATTCATGAAAAATTCATCCACCCAAACCTCAGCTCACACACTGCGAAAACACGCCCAACTCATTCCTGGGGCCCTGCTTTTGAAGGTTCAGTGTTCTTTTGGCTGCTGAAGTGAGCAGCCGTGTCAGTATGCACATCAGCACGTGTGTGGGTGTGGGACCGTATGCACGGGTGTCTGGATATGGGTGTCTGGTTACGGGTGTATGTGTGCCGTGTGCACATCATGACCCACATAGACACAGCGGCCAGGCAGGCAGATCGTGGTATCCAGCAGCTGGAGAGAGAGGAGAGAAGGAAGGCCGGGATGTGGGCTGGGAGAACCATCCCAGGCCAGGGACCACTCCAGCCCCCCCCCCACCCCCTGCAGCGAGGGCGGGACACCCAGTACTCTGTCCTGGTTTTAACGGGCAGAACCAAGGCCTTGGGTCCAGGGTCCTTGGCCTCTTTGTCCGAGCAGGGCTAGGCAGACAGAATATTCGAGAATGTGGTGTGTTTGTGCCGTGGCATGGTGTGTACATCTGTGCACATTCTGTGTGGATAGTGTATGTACATGTGTGTGGATAACGCCTAAGTCAGAAAGGAGAGTGGGAACATAGTTGTTAGGCAGTTGACCCCTGGATCCTCCCCCAAAGGCCCCTCTTCTAACTCCACAGGTCCTGTCTCCGGGAGAAGCTTAGCACGGGGCCCGGCTCTCACGTCGGTATAAGTGATCGGAGACAAACTAGACTAAGAGCCCTGGCAACGAAAAGTCAGAAAGGTTACTTTTCTGGACCTCTGTTTCCTGTGACTTGTTGAAGAGAAATATTACCCCTGCTCCTTTAGCCATGCTCCCAGAGCAATAGGAGAGCGTGAAGTTATGAAATTGAGGGCACCTTCACCGAGCAATCGATTAGCAGCCCAGAGAGCTTGTGAATTGGCTGTCTGGACATTTGCAGTAATAAATTGTGAAATAGTCCATGAATAAGTAGTTGGCGGAGTTCAGAATTACCCCCTAGGAAATGTTGAGGTCTAGAGACACATTACCAAGGCGAGCACCATTTTAATGCTCTGGGCTTTGGCTGTTAAATATGTATGCCATCCGCAAAGCACTTCCCAAAATTAATGGCATTTTACAGCTGCTCCGAAGGCAGCGTATTTATATGGAGATGTATAGATTGGGGGCTGTGGTGGCTTCACAAATGAAGTGCTAATTTTAGAGGATAGGGCCGGGCGGGGCGGGCATGGAGAGAGGGTCAGGAAGTGAGCTACCTGGGGCCTTTCCCAAAATGGATTTCTGCTGCCAGCTATGACTTTTAACCTTTGGTGACATTGGGCATGGTCTCTAGGCTAGAAAGGTCACTGTGGTAACAGGCCACCCAGTACACAGAAAGAAGAGAATCATTATATTAACAACTAGAGGCCAGATGCACGAAATTTGTGCAAGGGGCTTGACTCTCACAGCCTTGGAGGCCTGCCTTGGTCCTCGCAGCCCTGGCTTCATCTGGAAGGTCGTCCAGAAGGATGTTCGGCTGCTTGGTTAATTAGCATATTATGCTTTTATTATTATAGGTAATAATAATAATGGCAACTTCCATTTGCCAGGCACTCCTTTAATCCTCATTACAACCCTGTACAGTAGGTCATTACAACCCTGTACAGTAGGTTCTACTGTTATCCCCATTTTACAGAAGGAGGTGCATAGTGCCTGGGAATCTAGTGTGGTTGGTGACCCCCTGGGAAAAATGGCACTTTCTCTCCAGTTATTTTCTGGGGCCAACAATAGGGCCACCAGGTACGTGGGCCAGTTTGTTCACTGCACAAGAGCATCTGACCAGAAGGATAAGTTGGGCCTGAAACCGGCCCCACCCCCATGCCAGGGTTCCAGGCAGCACCTTCCCTGAGACTAATTAGCACAAAAGGTGACGTGTGCACTAGCCAACGTCGCCTTTCCTCCAGGTAGCCCCAGCACCTTCTCCCGTACCTGCACCTTCTCCACACCCCTGGAGTCCGTTCTCCAATCTTGTGATCTGCCCACTTGGTTGGAGGGTGGGGACAGGCAGCACTGAGGTTGAGCTTCCACCCGATTAAGGACCCAGCTTCCACCCGATTAGGCTGAGAAGTAGTTTTCTCAGGATCCCTGGAGAGACAGGAACCTCTTGGGGACTCAGACACTCCCCAGCTCTTTCTCTGAAGCATCCCGAAGGACTGTTGAAATCTAGAGTAAATCAGTCATGGGGTGGGGTGGGATTTTGAAAGGCAGTGTGGCCGGGGACCCAGGGCCAGAGGATCAAGCCCACCTGTAAGAGCGGGAGCCTGGCAAGAGGTTGCTGGTGGGTTTCTGCACCCAAGGGCCTCCGATGAGGGTCTTTGCCTGAGCCTTTCATTGCTGACCCCACTCCAGAGGCCCACATGTCAGAGGCCTGGCCACACCAGTTGAGAGAATGATGAGATACCTGCATATCCCGTGTGTGCCCTTTTTGTGGGCTTGTGTTCATAAGATTTTTCAATACACATGCATTCTTTCAGCTAGTGGGCTAGTGAGGAATATCACCCATCAGCTGAAGGTTTGGGGCACTCCGACATTTGGGGGTGCCGAGATGGCTTTGGAGAAGGTTAAGGCCTAGAAAGAAGCTGGAAGATTGGAACGGAATTCCGTCAGACTGCAGTTCCACTCCTGGGCAACCTTGGGCAACTTATTGACCTTCTCTGGGCCTCAGTTTCCTTATCTATCAATGGGGACACTGTCATCTACCTCGTAAGTTTGCGAGGCTTAAGTCAAACAGCCTGTGAGAAAGAGTTGAAATTAGCGCTTGGTGTATGTACAGCAGGAAGGCCGAGACATGTTGAGTTTGCTAAGCGTTCAGCTCATTCACCACAGACTCCGGATGGAGATGTGTAAGTGAAGCTGGGCGGGTGGGACCAGCAGAAACAAACTTGCATGGAAGACTGGACTCTGGGGCACTGTATGGTCCTGGATTCGGACACGTCGGATCCCACAGTTCCTCACTCTGTGTCTCTCAGACTGGACGAGGTCAACAGCTACTTCCCACTATTTTCCCTGCCTCTTCTCCCTGTTATTCTTGGCAGGGCTGCCAGGGGGTTGTTTCTAAATGAGAAACCAGAGCCTGTTCAAAGCCCTTCACTGACTCCCCATCACCAGGGAGAGAGGGAGCCTGACATGGGACAGCTGTCACCTGTGCTCTGGCCCCATAGCTACCTTCCGAGGACCCCTGCCCTCCAGGGAGAGACCCCTTGGGACTCAGGGCCTCTGACACAGTGACGTGGCTAAGAGCTCAAGCTCTGCAGTTGCACCAACCTGAGTTCAGGTCCTCTCTCTAGAGGACGGCTGAGCTCACCTGTCACTCATCCTAGAGAATTCACCTTCTGTGCCTATAAAATGGGATTGTGAGTACCGACCCCTAGAAAGTTGAAATCAAGGTTAAATGAGGCAATATCAGCTACTGCCTTTTGAGCCTCCTGCTCTGCTGGGCCCCCTCCTAGGCCCTCCACCAACACTATCTCATTTGCTGATTTACGAGTGGCCCACACGTCAACAAACAAATGCAAGCTATCGCGGTTATCAGGAGTCACTCACCTGGCAGATCCGGACTCTGGGGACTGAGATCCTTGGGAAGAGAGCGGTATCAGGGAGCATGTAGATCTAATCTTTTAAATGGGAGCTGGGAGAGACAGCAGGGGAGATGCCTGATGACAGCAGTGTGCGCACTTGAGCCGGCATCAGAATCCCCGGAGGGCTTCTTACAACACAGGTCGCCGGCCCCGGCCCCACCCCGAGTGTCTGGGTCAGTGGTCTGGGTGGGGCCTGAGAATGTGTAATTCTGAGAAGCTCCCAGGTGATGGTGATGCTGCTGGTCTGGGGACCACACTCAGAACCACTGGCCTGTGTTGAGGGTGCAGGAGACAGAGCATGTGACCCACAACCAGACGGTTTGGAGTTCAAATACCTAGTCCACTGCTTACTAGCTCTGCAACCATTGGACAGTTCATCAGCAAATACCACCTGAGCCCCCTCGTCTTGCCAGGGATACCCGTAGGTGGCCATCCGGGAGGCACAACGTCGGCTCTCAGGAAATGTGCTTTTCCTCCCTGACTTAGCAGGCCTCCATCTAAGCCGCCCAGAGGAATTTGTTAAAACACAGGAGCAGAGGTTTCAGCCCAAGCTCTCCAGCCCCAGCAGCCGGCCTCCCCCAACCCACTCAGCCTTCCTCAGCTCCTCTCCCGTCTGCCCTGCAGGAGGAGCCCTTTGTCATGTTCCGGAAGTCTGACAGGACCCTGTTTGGGAATGACCGGTTCGAGGGCTACTGCATCGACCTGCTCAAGGAACTGGCCCACATCCTGGGCTTCTCCTATGAGATCCGGCTGGTGGAGGACGGCAAGTACGGGGCGCAGGACGACAAGGGCCAGTGGAACGGCATGATCAAGGAGCTCATTGACCATGTAAGTGGGGCTGAGGGCCCCCTGGAAGGCTTGGCCAAGTCCTGTTGACACATCAGGGTGGGGCATCTGGCAGACGAGGGCCCTGGGGGCAGGAGAGATGGAGTCACAGGCTGTGGGGAGGGAGGAGTGAGGAGCTCCCTCTGGCCTGCCTTGTTCCTGCTCCCAACTCCCAGATACTCCCCTCCATGTAAGCACACACACACCGGCCCATCCCACTCAGAGCCATTCCCACCAGAGTTTGATGAGCTGCCTTCTGTTCCTTTAAGAGCTACCAAAGGATGTCCCAGCCATGTGGGTGAGCTGGCATGCAGAGCACCTCCCCAAACCCTGGGATGCCGAGACAGATCCTTCGCTGTCCTGAGTGACTTTGGGTCCAGTGGGCAGACGGGTGGTCCAGGGAGCCAAGGACTGGGATGAAGGGATGAGCAAGGCTCAGCTGGGAGGTACCAAGGAGGCAGATTCATACTCGGTCTGAGATGGGAGAGGACCCAGGGGAACAAGGAGCAGCAGCAACAGACGGAACTTTTGAGAGAGGAGTGAGCAGGTGGTGGGAGGACACTGGGTTTGTGGGACACTGTGGGGAAATGAAGAAAATCCAGTTAAGGGGCACCACAGTCGGGGGAGTCAGGAGGCCCTGGGTTCAAATCCCGTTTCCTCATTCGTTGGCTATGTAAACAGGAATGTCACTGGACTTCTCCATGGCTTCCTTCTCTGTCAATGGGTGTAATCCTCCCTCCTCATAGAATTGTTGATACGGGGCATGAAGTACTAGGTGCAGGGCCTGCCCACAGCCAGCCCTCAGCACACACATCACCATGGTTAGGAGCCCAGGCTGTGGACCGCTGGTCCAAGGTTCAAGTCCTGGCTTTACCAGTTGATAGATGAGCAACCAGGTAAGTTCATCAACATCACTGAGCCTCAATTTCTTCACTTCTAAAAGGGAGTAATCAGCAACTACCATAGCTCCTACAGTTGTTGCGGCAATAAATGAGGCACCACTTATACAGGCTCACCTGGCCCATACATTACCTGCCTCCCAGCTCAGGGCCCTCCACTCTCCAGAAGCGTTCTCGATCAAAGGCCTGCTAAGGAAGGCAAGAACCTGATCTGTACTAAACCCCTCGTGTTCCTTCTCTCCTTTATCCTGACATGGCAGTGAGGTAGGGACGGTTGCCACCACCCCTGGTACAGACCGGGAAGCTGAGGCAGAGGGAGGTGAAGGCCCCACAGTAACCTGTCTTTGGAGGCCCTCCACTTCCGAAGCCCTGTGCTCTGACCTCTGCAGAGAGCCAGGGCAGAGGGAGGCTCGTGCAGTTGGCCTTTGCAACGTGAAAAGTACCAGCCAAAGGGATTATTCCCACTTTGCCTCTCAGGGCGGGGCAGGCAGCAGCAGGGCCTCATTAGTCTTCCTGCCCCTGTTGGAGGGGCTGCTACATGGGGACCTTGGGGGTTGGAGCGGGGCGGGGGATGGGGGGGGCTGGAGCTCAGAGCAAGAAGGCTCCAGCAAAGCGTGACCGTTTCCTGGACCCCAGGAAGTAACCCCCAGGGAAGGCTGATGGGAAAGGCTAATGGTAGAGAACATGAACTCCACTGGGCTTGATTCCCACTCTGCCACTTATTAGCTGTGTGTTTCTGGACAAGTTCCTTAACCTCTCTGTGCCTCAGTTTTCCTCCTCTGTAAAATGGGAGTGATAATAATAGAACCTCACCCCGTAAGGCTGCTGTGAGGACTAAGTCACACATAGTTGGCACCGTGTCAGTACTTGCTCTTATTATTATTATTTTTTTTTACTGAGGCTGGGGAGGGGGCTTCAGGAAGTCCCATGATCTCCCTGAGCTCATGACCTAACTCACTGAGAGTAACCTTACCTGCCCTGCATTCTTCCCAGCTGGTTGTGCTGCTCCTCAGAGACAACTGCCAGGGAAGCAGCTCCCAGGTTGTGGAATTCAATCTAAACGGAAGGGTGTGGTGTTGTCACCATTTAATAACTGTAATTATTATGGAAATTAGTCAGCAGGGCCCAGAGGCATCTCCATTATGGAGCCCCGAACACTTGTGAGCAGGGCTGTGGAGTGGGAGGCTTCCAGTGGTTCTAAGCCTGTTGTTTGCAGAGGGGAGCTGGGTAGGGGAGGAAGAGAGATCACGTGGAGGGGAAGCCACGTGAGGAAGCGAGCAAGGCGGAGGCCGGTCTTATCACCACAATCTCCAGCAGTCAGAGAGCTCTGAAGAGCTGTTTGCAAGAGGGTGGGTCAGAAAATCCCGCAGCAGCCAGACCTTCCCAAGTTGACCCTTGGCTGGAGAAAGAAGGAGGCCTCATCCATGGCCCCCGGGCAGCCCCGTCTCCATAGAGGCCATAGGCTCTAATGGGACATGCAGGTGACCTTGTTAAACCAGAGTCCCTACAACTGATGAGTCCATTAATCCTAGCTTGGTGCCAATTTTAATATCACCATAACCATTTATTAGTGTCGTCAGATAATTAGTCTTCTCACTAGCTCATAGAAAACGTGGTAAAGGCTCGGCAATATTATTACTTTCTTATTAGGGATCTGATCGTAGACGTAAAAATGATGAATGCTAACTTTGCAAGGATCTGCCCCAGAGGCCCATTCGGAGGCCCTGGGTGGAGCCTCTGACCAGCAGGACTTAAGAAGTCCTTCCCTGACACCCTGCTCACCTCTGTCCCATGCCACATGGCCTCCCAGGAGCCAGGGTTGTGGAGGAAGATGGGGCACCTGCAGAGTGCCCCCCCCCAACACACTCACCTTCCCCCAAGTCACCTCCAACTATGGGAGCAACAAATATGATCACCCCATCCATCACCCCTTCTCTCTCTCTCTCTCTCTCTCTCTCTCTCTCTCTCTCTCTCATCATCATCATCATCACTGGTGTCAGGCCACGACACCCATTATTATGTCTTCTACCTTCAACCGGGAACCGGATCCAAGTCCTGGCCTGCATGCATTGGTGTCGGAAGGGTTCTCAAACCTCTGTTTGTGTGGCCAGGAAAGGCTCTGCCAAGCCACCTCCTTCAGGCTGGGGCAATGCACTTTGAAGCAAGGCATGCTGGGAGCTCACCTGGGGCAGGTCAGAATCCTGAACGCGACAGGGCATTTGAGGGTAGGGAATATGGATGGACTGCAAAGGTGGACTCTTATTGGCAGCCAGATTGATCAGAGCTCTGGAGAAGCTCAGGATCTGCCTGAGGATGACCAGTAAGCAGGTGAGAAATTCAGGAAGGACTTGGCCGCATTGAGGTTCACCACAGAACTGTCAGCTGCTAGGAACTCAGCAAGCAGAGACCAGCCTGGGAAAGGCCTGAAAAGAGCCTGGCAGGGGTGAAGGTTCAGACAACCAAGTTCAAGAAAAGACAAGGTGCAAGGTAGCAATAGAGCTTCAGGGTGAAGGAGGTATTGGAGGGAAACTGAGGTCAGAGGGAGCACCCGGACCACGCTTACACTCCTGAGGCTCATCTGTCCCTTCATTCATTCCACAAAACTTCCGGGAGCAAAGTCTCAGCCTGGGCTCCTGGAGGGCAGAGCTTGGGGCATAGGCTCAGATGCCACTGCTTAGTAACGGGGTGTGATGCGGGCAGAGAGTGACGGGCAGGAAAGTGGAGCAGGAGGGAGGGGAAGCCAATACGAGGACACATTACTGAGCCATTGCCACTGAGTACAACTAATGGCTAGATCCACAAGTCTGCGCCCCAGAAAAGCCTTACAAAATGTGTCTCAGGACCATCTCTTGGAGTGAGGGGAACAGGCTTATTAACTGACTCCTGACTCCCATGCATTTCTGGGCTTGGCATGGAGGCATGGGAGCCAATCGGGACCCTACAGCAGTGTCCCTGGGAAGTCATGGGGGCAAGAAGGGCCCAGGTGGCAGGAGGTGAGATGCTGTCAGCTTGTACCTGTGTGAGGTTAGTCACAGCTGGAAGGTCTGTTCCAAGCACCCATGCCATGCCAGACCTGGACGGTGACTAGAGATGCGGGAGTAACTGAATCAATGGAACATGCTGACCTCCTGCCAGGACTCAGGAGTCAGCCATTCTCCAAGGCCTGGGAAAGACACAGGCTTCATTTCTCACCATCAGGCATCCAGGAGGTCTGTGTGTGAAGCACAGGCAATGACCCCTCGGTCAACACTTAGGAATTTTCTAGCACCTGTACCCATCTCTTTAGATATATATGGGCTGTTCCGAAGTTGTCAGTGGCTACAGTGCTGATTGGTAAGTGTGGTGACTGGCTGGTGGGTCATCAGCAGACACCACCTGTGATTCAGTGTCCCCACCCCCAAAAACTGCCATGTGGCAGACCATGCAGTAAGCTCCTAAACCTCGGGTGTTCCCATTGATCAAGTTATTCATTTATTCAATAAATTTATTAAGTTAGGTCTCATGCCAGGTGCTGTGAATACACAGCAGGATCCCCCTCCTGAGCCTCCGGCTCTGACACTCTAGTGGAGGAAACAGATAATAATCCATGAACATGTGGAGAGATGCAACTATTAAGCCAGAGAAAGTGTTCTGAGAGAGGAACATGGTCAAGTGAGAGAGACACGGGCAGGAGGGGTCAACATATCACCCTTAGGATCAATGAATGTGTTGAAAAGTCAGAGGTTTGAAGGTTATTCAAGGATGTGATTACTATAAATATGAAAGCAAAGACCTTGGACCTTCTTTGAGCCTTAGTTTCCCCTCCATAAAAAATTTGGGGTTGGAGTAGATATTCTCGAAGTTCTCCTGTCCAGCTCTGACATCCTATGTTTTTATGAATCATCCTCAAAGAAAACTTGCATGAGTGGGAGGAACCTGCCAAGATTGGGCCTTTCATTCTGCGTAATGAACTGAAACGGCAAAGGCTTGACATCTGCTCTGCTCTTTCAGGAGAACTTGAACAAAATAATGCCTTTTTCAGGGGAAAAGCACAAATGGTGAAATGTAGTGTTTCTCGCCTTAAACAAAATTGAAGTGGAGAACACCGGCCTTCTTGAAGCCCAAAGGAGAACACACATTAGAATTCCCCATGAAGAAGGTCACGTTGACCAGTTGTCTTGCTGCTGTAGGCAAAGAATACCAAAGATGTCCCCGCTCCTTAACCCCATTATAGCAGAAAGGAGAAAGGCTGGTGGGGACATTCTGATTGGTTCTTGAGGAAGAAAGAGGACCTGTGGCCCTATAATTGGCTTCCTTGTCAATCCTGAAAAATTTCTAGTAGGTGGAACAAGCCCTGGCTGCAAACACCTTGATGCCCTCAGTAACTAATGCTCTCATTCAACTTGCCGCCAAAAGCCAAAGGAAGATTTGCCTCCATTGACCTTGAAGTTCTTCCCAAGAATCCACTCCAAGCCCCAGAGGCCAGTCCCAGAGACCAGTTCCAGATGCATTCTGAACAATGATGATGACTTTGGGTTCATAACAGAACCTCCCCAAAAGCATTGTGTTTTGAAGGGAAAAGTCTCGGGGAGGCCAACTTTGAGAATCAAAAGCCCACTTCAACCCTGTTATGCCAACATTATAGAGGATCCTAGAACTTCAAGATTGAAAGGGACTCTCTAGGGTGCCAGGCCCCGTTCCCACCCTACTCAGAGTCCAACCCTCATCCTCCAAAAGGGTCTCCCTCTACCAGAAGCTCCATGAGAGCAGGAGCTGGGTCTCTTGCTCCCCTCTGCATGCCAGGCTGGTGCACAGTAGGTCTTGAGCAAATACATATCAGTCCCTCTGCACCATCCCAGATAGTTCTCTCTTTTGTTGTGTTCCTGAACTGAGAGGGCTCCAGGGAACTGGGGTGCCTGTTTCTTCTTATCTCTGCCTTAAGAGCTAAGCAAGTTCCAACTCACACACTCAGAAATGTACAAAAGAATGTCCCGTGTAAACAATCCTTTGTAATAGGCTCCTCCTCCCTAGCTTTCCCAGGTTCTGAGGTTCATTGAATCCTTGTGCTCCAAGTGTCAATAGTTGGGTGTGGGGGTGCTGTTAGAAGGAGAAACACTGGGATAAGCAACATCATGGTGTGTTTCCCACCGTCCCCAGTCTAGGACATTTGCAAAGCCATTTAGAAGCTGGGATTCCACCCATATCAGTCCTCCCCTCTTTGAAGTCTGATTTCAACTTGGTTCCTGGTTTCTATTCTAGGATTAGTGAAGTCAGAGATAGTGTTAACAGCTGCCATTTAGTAAACAATTTGATTAGTGTCCACTTCCCTCACTGCCTGTATTCCCCAATGCTTGGTGGATCTTATAAATAATGGATGGATGGATGGAGGGGTGGATAGATAGATGGAGCTGGACCAAGCCAGTGGATAGCTGCCTAGGGGCATTGCCTTGGGATGGAGTCTCAGAGGTAGCCTCCTGTCAGCTTAGCAAAGGGTCTTTAGTGCTGGTCTTTAGGACCCCAGCCTCCCTTTCTGTCCTGCCCCATCAGAGGAAGGAAAGTGATAAGTTGGTTCACATTCTAATGTGTAAATATCCACAGGGACCTAAGGAGTAACCCCTCAGAGGGAAACATTATTAATTAACAAATAGTACAGAGGCTGAGATGGGGATTAAAAATTGAGAAATGGAAAAAGTGTATCAGCTACAGTCCCAACTGTGCTTAGAAACTCACAGGTAAATAAGCAGATAAGACAAAAAGTCACATGGCCACACATCCTGCTGTTCAAACTGAGTAGGCTAGGATCTTACCACAGGACAGAGCAAAATTCGTGGGAGTTTAGAATTGGAGGCTATCAGGGAGGGCTTCTTGGAAGAGGGCACATGTGCAAAGGAATATGGAAAGTGGTAAAAGGCCACAGGAGCGGGCATTCTCAACAAGGCACAGTGTGTGCAAAGCATAGATGTGGTCAATAGGAAGCAATTAAATGGGACCTCGTTTAGAAATAGAGCAGTAGGGTAAGGCTGGACAGAACGGAATAAAGGATTATAGACTTTTAATTAGGAAAAGCTCAGACCCAAAAAATAGAACTTTAATTATTTCCTTCAATAAAATTGTGATGGGCTAAGATTTATCAATATCTGAGCATTTCTAGCCTCCCCTACCCCCCTCCTTTCTTTCTCTGCTCTCATCCCTCCCCTCCCTAATTAAAGGGGGCTCTGGATTTGCCTGTTTATTTTGTTCCCTACCTTCTCCCTCCAAAGAAGGTCTTGTTTTTGCCTACCTGGTTTTGGGGACTTTTAGGATATATAGAATATCTAGAGTGTTGTGAAGCAGTCAAGAAGTGGATAGGAACCTTGGCCAGTGGTGCTCAGTGGTTGGAGCATCAGTCCGCACACCGAAGGGCCGTGGGTTTAATTCCCCATCTAAGGCATGTACCTGCATTGCAAGTTCAATCCCCGGCCCCAGTCAGGGCAAGTGCCAGAGGGAACCAATCAATGTGTCTCTTTCACATCAATGTTTCCCTCTCTCTCCCGCTTCAACCCTCCCTCCCTTCCTCCCTCCCTAAAAATCAGTGGATAAAATATCCTTGGGTGAGAATTAACCAAAAGAAAAAATGTGGATAGGAGAGGAAAACATTTAGATAAGGGTTGTTGTGGATTTCGTGTCCTCTTCATGATGTTTGAAAGTCACAAGTAAAGAACATGAGTGATCTTTAAATGTTTTTAGGTTATGAACTGTATTTATTTGACAAAGCACCGTTTTTAGACTAGAGCACATGGATATAGCTTTAATAGGGCTCCATTCTCTGCACATTTCTGCCGCTGTCCTTTTCCTCAAGGTCATGAGCTCTCAGAGAACAGGGTTAAGTTTATCATTGTCTCCCCAGCACCCTGAGAATGGCCTGGCCCAGCAGAAGGGTTCACAAACATTGACACTAAAGAGTGGTTAAGCAATCCAGGACTCAGGTAACTGACTCCACTCCAAGGAGTGTTCTGTCCACTGTCAGTCAGAGGCGTTGCTCATAGTCTGTCTGTCTCTCTCTCATTGCAGAAGGCGGACCTGGCCGTGGCCCCCCTGACCATCACCCATGTGCGCGAGAAGGCCATTGACTTCTCCAAGCCCTTCATGACGCTCGGTGTCAGCATCCTCTATCGCAAGCCTAACGGCACCAACCCCAGTGTCTTCTCCTTCCTCAACCCCCTGTCCCCTGACATCTGGATGTATGTGCTGCTCGCCTACCTGGGTGTCAGCTGTGTCCTCTTTGTCATCGCCAGGTAAGGGCAATGCCATGGCCAGAGCTCTGGCCTGAGGTTGGAGGTTTAGGGAGCCAGGCACGTCTCCACTCATCCGCTGCTATGCATGCTCCTCTCTCCTCCTCTGAAGCTCAGATCCCTTTATGACCCTCAGGGAATATGCCATGGCCCCCAAGCTTGAATCCCCCGTCCTTACCCTACTCTGTGTATATGACTCTGAGAAGCAGCTCTTGCACCCCAGGCCCTATGAGCAGGCTTAGAGAGGCGAACTCACTGCTCAGAGCTGAATCATCTGGGCCAGGCACCCAGTCCTGCAGACCCAGGTGTATTGGGTGGCCCTGCAGGCAGCTTGACACTTGAAAAATAGGACTGTGTCCATTTAACCCACAACAGCAGGAGAAACAGGACCACACAGATGCACACACATGCACTCATGCAGAAACATGCATGCCCACCTGTCTGTAAGACACACTAGCAACACCTTGCACATTTGGTTGTTCAAATGGAAGATGCTAGGACATCCTTGTGGTCGATGGTAGAAGGAGATAACAAGGGACGCGTTGAGCTCCGTGTTTACCGAGCATCTAGTGCAGTGATGGCAAACCTTTTGAGCTCGGCGTGTCAGCGTTTTGAAAAACCCTAACTTAACTCTGGTGCCGTGTCACATACAGAAATTTTTTGATATTTGCAACCATAGTAAAACAAAGACTTAATATTTTTATATTTATTTTATATATTTAAATGCCATTTAACAAAGAAAAATCAACCAAAAAAATGAGTTCGCATGTCACCTCTGACACGCGTGTCATAGGTTCGCCATCACTAATGTTTGCCAAGCACTGTGCTCTGTCCTTTACAGCCATTAAATTAGTTACTTCTCTGAGGAAGAGGAGACATCTGAGGCTCACAAAGGCTCATACTCGCCAAGGTCATCCTAGCAATAAGTGAACTCAGGTCCCCAAGTGTTTTATCTGTGACCCACATCTCTGGCCATCTGGACATCCGTCCTCTGCCTGGGCCCCAGCTCCCCCTCCCCTTCACAGCTGGGCCCTCTGGCCCCTCCCTCCAGACCCCAGCCCAGCCTCTGCCCTGCTTATTTTTTCTCTAAACCCTAACAAGGCACGAAGAGAGACTTCTCTGGAGAGGCAATTTGAGATCCAAGGACTTGGTGTTTCAGCCTTTTTTTCTCCTGGGACTTCTTTGAAAACCTTTCCCCCACCCCACTCCCTTCGCTCCCTCCTCCCACACCGAGAGAGACCAAAGGGAAAGATGGCGGGATGAGATTGTCCTGCCTCCAAGCCCTTTGCTCAGCCCAGCCCGCAGCCCGCCCTTGTCTCTAATGGTCTAACAAGCCTTTGAAGGCCAGGAGCCACTCTGCAGCTCTCGCCATCATTTTAGCAGCTCCCGGGGCCTCTCAGCCCGCCATGCCCTGGAAAACAGCTCAGGTTTTCCAGCATCACTTCTGCCCTTGTGATGTGCGGCCCCTCCCCCTCCCCCTCCCATTCCTGGCCTTTCATCAGCGGCTGGCAGCCAAGCCTGCTTCCCACCACATCTCTCCTGGCCAGGACAGTAGGATCCCCCTTCCCAAGGTTAGGCTGGGGAGACTTTTGGGGAGAGACGGGATTTCCGGAACTGCTGGAATGATGACACGGGACACATGAGGTGAGAAGGGAGGAGCGAGGGTCTTGGCCACGGAGCCACGGGCAGCACCGTGGTACAATTGTCACACTGTGTAGCACTCACACAGCACAAGTCACATAACCCAACTTGTCGCAATCGTCACAACGGTCCTGTGAGGTGGGTATAATTATCCCCACTTTACAGAAGTAGAAACAGAGGCTCAGAGGGGTGAAGCCATTGCCCAAAGTCACAAAGCTTTTTCTCACAGTTCGGCTTCACATCATGACCTTTCCGAGTTTAAATCAGGGGTGGCCAATGGAGGTGCCGGAGGGAGCAGGAAGGAAGCGTGAGAAAGTGAAGCAGGCCGAGTGGAGGGAATCGGGAGCGATGGGGATGGAAGCTAAACAGAGATACACGCCTGGCGAAGGAGCAGCCACTACTCAGCTCCCACAACTGTACTCGGCGGGGTGCTGTGCCGGCGCTGCCGGGTTCATGATTCTTAGAGAGATTCAGACTTTAATGTGACACCTCTTGGCTTTTATATGTAGCCACTCATTCGATTTTTTACAACACTGTCAGGGTCAAGCACCGCACATCTGTATGGGGCACGTGGCCCTCGGCCCACTTCTCCGCGTGGCCTGCGTCCTTTGGGCCGCTGCATGCTGGCTGCTGGAGAGCTGGACACAGCCGCCCAGAGCTGGGGCCTGTGAAGCGGCCAGTTCCCAGATCCTCTCCGCGGCATGTGGCTCAGCGCAGGGCTGTCTGCCTTGCAAATGGCCTGGCCTGGCTCATGCCTGCCTAGCACCAGGGTGTAAGCATTGAATAAGGCCTTTTCCTGCCACCAGGATATTCTGCTTCTGGCCACACCAGCCATTCCAGCCCTTTGGGGACTTCCCCAGGGTCTCTCTGTCTCTCAGATGCTCTAGCCTCCCCCACCCTTCATTTCCTCCGAGGGAACTTGGGCCACACACAAAGACGGTGCCCCACCTGCCAGGACTTCTCCTCCTTAGAAGGCAGTGGGGGCCTTAAAGTCACCATGTCTCCCTGTCATACATGCATTTGTATCTTCAGAGAAAAAAATCTGAAAATTTTGATAGCGCATTATTCTCTCTGGGGTGGGGGGGGGGGGGATCCTAGAGTACTTTTACCTTCTCACTGTATTCTATGCTGTTTGGATACTTTATGAAGAATGTACTTTACTTTTGTTTTTGCTTTAAGTTTTTAAGTAATATATGAATAATTAAAAACTATAAATAAGTAACAAAAATAGTAATAAATAATGATAAATGAATAAATAATATTACAAATCATTCAAAAGCCCATTCTCATCTTTAAAAATTTATATTCTACGCCTGACCGGAGTGGCTCAGTTGGTTGAGCTCTGTCCTGTACACCAAAAGGTTGCTGGTTTGACACCCAGGCAGGGCATAAGACCAGGTTCCAGGTTTGATCACCAGTCGGGGCACCTATGGAAGGCAGCCTATCAATGTTTCTCTCTCTCTCTCCCCCTTCCTTTTCCATCCCTCCCATCCTCTCTCTAAGCATGTCCTCGGATGAAGATTAAAAAAATAAAAATTCATATAATACATATAGAGCAAAAGGCTTCCCTAAAATTCCTCTGCCACTCTGACTTCCCTCGCCAGAGGAAAACACTGATACTTTTCAGAATTGGATCCCTCCAGATGTTTTATATGCATTGAAATACAAATGTACATAAAGAGGTAGATAGCTGTGTCTTGGGGAATCTATTTACATAAATGCGATCCTATTGTTCTTATTTTTATCACTCTTTTTTAACCAAACATGTGTTGAAGATCTTTCCTGTCGGTACATCTAGAAGTATCGCGTTCCCCCCATCAGCCGCATGATGTTTCAGAGCACGGTGGGGCACAGTTGATTTCATCGCTCCTCTATTGAAGGACATTTCCGTTGTTTCCCGTTTTTTGCTATTATAAGCAGTGCTTTGATAAACACCTCCGTGTGCTTCTCTTTACGCTTGTGTGGTCGTGTTTTTTCTAGGATGGATAATGAGTCGCAGAATTGCTAGGTTGAAGGGCCTGTGCACTTTTAATTTTAAGAGATGCTACTGAATTACTTTTATAACCAGCAAAAGCCACTAACCATAAAGAACAAAACAAAACGGCCCTGAGTTCCCATCCCGGCCTCCCCAGCAGAACAGTGTGACGCGGACACCCCTCCCTCCCGTCGCCCTGCAGCTCAGCCTCACTGCTGCCCTGTCCTCCCTGCAGGTTCAGCCCTTACGAGTGGTACGATGCTCACCCCTGCAACCCTGGCTCCGAGGTGGTGGAAAACAACTTCACTCTGCTGAACAGCTTCTGGTTCGGAATGGGGTCCCTGATGCAGCAAGGTATGCGCCCCCTCCCCCGGGGGAGTCTCCACTCCCCAGGGGACCTCTCCTCCCTGGGTGTGTGGGGGATGGGAGGGCTCCACCTTTATGGAGTCAGCAGAGTCAGCCCACCCTCCAGGACAGCCTCAGACCTGCTGAGCCATCACGGGGTTGGCGACAGCTGGACACCCAGGTGTGTGCCCTTGCCCCAGGGCCCCACCCTTCACCACTGCTGTTTCTGGGCCAGTCAGGCTCTAGGGTTAAAGCAGATAAGCTGCCCCCACCCATGTCATGCAGGGCTCATCCCCAGCTCCTCCTGCTCCAACTGAGGTGGACATAGAGCATCCTTCTTACGGAGGCTGACCCACCGGTGGCCTCACCACCATAGCATCGGGCTGAACCAAGTTGGGCTGAGGAGGGGGAGAGTGGAGGCAGGGAGGCTGGCTGGGAGGCCATTGCAGGAAGGAGACGGTGAGATCTGAACTGGGGTGGTGGCCATGGGGGTAAAAGACAGAATGACTTAGAGGATGTCAGCATGCAGCAGGAACAGGACTCCATGGCCGCCTGACTGTGGGGAGTCTGGGAGGAGGAAGGGCCATGTCTGAGGTTGGACTTTAGCCTGAACGCATGAGAGGTGGGATACATGGAAGGACACCGGTCCTTCCATCCTCTCGAGGGAGGGCAGTGTACCTGGCCCTGGGCTGGTGGCCCACCCTTTGGAAACACGTGCAGCTGTTCCAGTATCTCAGAGAGAGCTCCGGCTTCAAGGATGTGGGAAGAGACACCCTGGGCTAGAGGTGGCACCGGGAACCGGACCCCCGGCCAGGAAACACCCTCAGGGAGAACATATGCCCGTTGCTTCTGCCTGTCAGTCCAGAGCCTCGTATCTCAGGAAATGGGGTAACCCAAACCTCTAGGGTCCCACTAAGGGACATCGGGTGACAAGGAGCATGGCTCAGAGGGAGGAGGATCCCAAGAAAATGTCCTTGTCCCTCACTCATCCGTGTGTATCCTCTTCTGGTCCTCAGTAGACATCCACCAGCAAATGCCGAATGGGTGGATGAATGAGTGAGTGAATGGTATTATCCCACTGGGTCCTGAGTGCCCACCAGCTGCCAAGCCCTGTGCTGGGTGCTTGAATGAAGAAGGATGAGGAAAGATAAATACTGCACCTGCCCCCCTCCCCGATGATGTCCCATCCATGACAGAGCCCGGGGTAGGGACTTGGGCCTGGGTAGGGGTCCAACAGAGCCTGGCAAAGCTCACCAAGCAAACAACTAAGTCATTCTCGCCTTGGGAACAGCTCTAGCTCTTCAGGCTGGGGGAGGGCCAGGCAGGTGGGGCTGGGGGGACTGGCTGGTGAGGAAGCTGAGGAGCCTGGTGGGAAGTGACAGGCAGCTCTCAAGGGAAGTGCCTCAAGCTGTCCCCGCTATTAATGAGTGTCCTGAAGCCTCACCTTGCTTCTGCGTCCATCATCTTTGCGCAGTGACAGTTGGGAAAGACCTGGAAACCCCTCAGTGCAGTAATAGCCTCTCTTCTTCGTCTCCTGCTGCTATTCAAAGCCCTGGCCCCTTGTGTATTCCCGCAAGGTTTTCATTAAGAGGGAGAAAAATCGTTGTGTATTTGAAAACCTCTCCCTTGAGTGATTTCTTTGATAAAAGAAAAAAAAATCATCCATATCAAAGCAGATGCTTTTCAGGTTGCAGGTCCAAATATTCTGCAAAGTTCAGGAGTCACTTGCTATTTAAATCTCTTGAAAGCCGCCCAGTTAATTACTTCAGTTAGAAGGTTTCGTCTAAATTGTGCTCCACACCCAAGGTCGGGGAGGAAGAGTTATCTATTTCTGCAAAGAGCTTCAAAAAATGTTGATTTTCTCTTCCTGCAAAGCCCCGCATAGCAATCTTGTATTTGTATACCAATTGTATTTCCAACACAATTTCTCCTCAAATTATATCATCGCAGCGTCGAGTTATTTGTGTGGGGCTGGGAAGAGGAGGGACGATTCCTCGTGCTTTGCAGAGTCCCGGAGAGGGGAGGTGTCTGGCACAAGATCATAGGAGAGTCAGGAGCAGAATTCATTCCAGAACCCAGGGGTCCTGACTCCTCCCAAGTGTTCAGAACCTGGGGCCATCCAGGGGTCCGTGGACATGCATCAGAGGGTCTGGCAGGCCTGTGAAATGCTGCGCATGTGCCTGTGGTTCTAGAGCAGCAGTTCTTAAATTTCAGCCTGATCAGAATCATCTGGAGGGCTCATCAAGCCCGGGTTATGGGGCGCCACCCCTGAGGTTACTGGTTTAGTAAGTCCTGGGATGGGGCCTGAGATTGTGCAATGCTAATGAGTTCCCAGGTGATGCTGCTGCTGCTGGCCCAGGACCCACAGTGAGAACACTGGTTGAGGGTAAGGGCCTCGGCTTTCATGAGATCGTCAGTGGAGCCCACGACCCAGAGGACCCGAGCAGCCCTGATCTGGACATTGTCAGAGACCACCTGCCTCTTCCCTTCTCCCAGGGTCTGAACTGATGCCCAAAGCCCTGTCCACTCGCATCATTGGTGGCATCTGGTGGTTCTTCACGCTCATCATCATCTCCTCCTACACGGCCAACCTGGCTGCCTTTCTGACTGTGGAGCGCATGGAATCACCCATCGACTCCGCGGATGACCTGGCCAAGCAAACCAAAATCGAGTATGGGGCAGTCAAGGACGGGGCCACCATGACCTTCTTCAAGGTGAGGCCCTCTCCCTCCCACTGCAGCACCTCAAGCTGGCCCTTTACTGGCCTTCCCTAACCACACAGAGCCAGGGCCAGAAATCCCCAGGGCTTAGGCCCTCCCTGTTGGGGGTCATTAACTTTTGGGAGTTATGGTGATGTGGCCACCTGGGTTGGTTCCAACATAGATCCTAGAGGTTTCTAGGCCTGGGACAAGCCGCGTGAGTGTGCATTATTTCCTTAAATCATCAGAGGGCGGGTGGGGAGACAAGGCTGGAGGAGGAAGTGAGGCCAGATGCAAAAATAGGTCCCAGGGCCAGTGGCATCCTTGCCCTTGACTTTGGGTCTCAGTGGCATCCATCCATCTCCACGAGGCTGGCCTAGGCTTGGGGTGAGCGCTTTACCACTTAGAGGGCAGCAGGGGGCACGTCCCCCTCTCTTCCTTGGAAGAGAGTGTTTACAAACATTCCTTAGCGCGTTACACTCTACGAATCCTGTGTCCAGAAAAAGCCGCTGTCACTGCTCAGGTTACTGCTCTTACAGGAATCTGGCCGTGACTTTGCTGCTCCTCCCGCTTTGTAAGGTGTTGGCTCCGTTCCCAATGTTTTGACACCTTCTGCTCGAGTAGCTGAGGGTTGACAGGCTGACCCTGAAAACCAGTAGCTGTAAATGTTATTCTGGAAATTAAAGTGATAACAACAGCTACCACCACCGAGAGCTCACAGTGAGCCAGGCGCTGTGCTAAATGGTTGCCTCGTGTAACCTTCATGACAAATCCTGTGAGTAGGTACTACTCTACACATGTGGAAACGGAGGCTCAGAGTAGTTCAGTGACTTGTCCAAGGACTCACAGCTGAAGAAGCCAGATGCTGACCCAGGTCTGCCTCCCTCCAAGGCCCATGGTTTAGGCCATGGTTCTCTGACTTGGGTGTGCATCCAAATCACCGGGAAGGCTGGGCAAACCCAGGTTGCTGGGCCTCACTCTCAGAGTTTCTGGGTCAGTGGGCCTAGGGTGGGGCCAAGAATGTGCATTCCTAACAAGTTCCCGGGTGCTGCTGCTGGTCCAGGGACCACACTCTGAGAACCACTGTCCCAACTATTTCTCAGAAATGGTCAGGATTCGGAACTCTGGGTTTATAGGTCCATTTGTTCATTCATTTATGTATTAGTCAACGCTCTTGATCAGTCTGAAAGTCTGGGTTGTGTCTCTTTCCTCTGGGCCCTGGCTCCCAGCCCCAGCCCTTGCCTCCTTCCAGGCTAATCCTCTGAGTGAAGGATTGAGCCTCCAATGGGGCCGGAGTGGGAGAGAAGAAGGGGTTGGTGGGAAAGCCTTCTGCCTCCTGGGCTCCAGAGCCCCACCAGGACTCTGTCCCCCCCTACTCCCCCAGACTGTCCTTGAGGATGGAAGCACCTGCTTAGTGAAGAGAAAAGAGGGAAGAGGCAGGAAAGGGGCTCCTGTCTCAGATGTTGCTACTGCCGCTGTGAAGCAGCAGGCGTGGCCTTCCTAAGAGGTCACTACCATGTATTTAGAGTGAAGGAAAGAGAAAAGTGTGGTCATAGGCACGTTAGGAGTTCTCTGGGACCCTATGTCTGTTCATGAGTGTGAGCAATATGTGAGTATGTGTTACATGAATGTGTACATATAGCAATATATGATACATGTATGTGTGCACACTGTGCCCATGCACAGAGTCTGCCTGTGTGGGAGCATGTGTGTGTGTGTGTGTGTGTGTGTGTGTGTGTGTGAGAAAATGAGTATCTGCACATATGTGTGTGTACTGGTGAGCATATGTGTATATGTATCTCTGTAACCTGGGTGTGTGGATATGTGCTTATCAATGTCTACAAGTGGGTGCCAGGGTGTCTATATGTATATATGTGTGAAGAATATATGCATGTCCATCTGTTTAAATGTCCCCATGGGTGTGCCTGAATTAGTGTGAGTGGGGGGATGTGCCTATGTGTGTGTGATTGCTATGTGTTGTGTAATGGCCCATTCATGTGTGTGTAATAGCTTTTGTGTGCGTGTGATGGCTCCTGCATGCATGTGTGTCTACGTGTGTTTGTAATGATCCATGTATGAGTGTGCATGTATGTGTGTGTGCATGTGGTGTGCCTGCTCGTGCCTATCCTCAGGCGGTGGCCCAGCCCTTTGACTGAGCCAGAGCATCTCTCATGCATTACTCATGAGCGCGTCTCCAAGCAGGGCTCCCGATCAAAGGGAAGCAGCATAAATAAGGCCGGTGCAGGCTCATTGCCGCTGATTGGATGTCCTTGCCTCCCTCCATTCTAAGATGCTCAGATTGGCTTCCCAGAGCCTAGTCCCAGCTCCCCACTGAGCCGCTGTCCCCGGCATCAAGCAGCACCTCCTGCAGCCTGCTCTGCCCTCACCCACCTTCTCTGCAAATGGCACAGTGAGGAGGACAGGGGAGGGACTCAGATGCTGCCACCCGGCTGAGATGCTGGGGCTCAAGGGCCTGTCCTCATAAGGGCCTTCGGCCAGAAACAGCAGCTCCATGTCCCCAAGCAGGACCAACTCCACTTCCTTACTCTCCTGATCCCCAATTAATTCCTCTTGAAGTCTGGCCTTCCTGTCTCCTGCTTTAATTCCAGTGAAGCTCTCCGTGGCCCGGCTCCCTTTCGTTGGCAGCAGCAGTGGGACTGCTATGTAGGTGGAGAGGACGTGAGTGTGGCTACATGAGCCCCGCCCCATACCAGGAGCTGAAAGCACACAGCACCCTCCCCAAAGATCCCTGGACAAACTTACTTCTCCCTGCCCCTCTTCCCTCCATGGTCATACCTCCCCCATCCCAGGCCAGGTTATGGCCTCATTGTCACTTCCACGTTAGAGCTGGAAGAAAACCTGAGTTTAACCTAGAGAAGCGGAGGGGCTGGGTGATTGGCCCATGATCACACAGCAGATTGGTGGTGGAACTGGGACGTAGGTCGGATATTCTGTCTGCACACAAAGTGCCCTCTCTCACACCCACTCTCGGGTCTTCTGGAGGGCTTGTCCCTCCCCTGCCCGTGAGTGTACATGGCCAGGTTGACAGTGGGTTTGAACAGCGGTCAGTGCCAGGAGTACGCACAGGATGTCTAGGAGACATTGGCAAAGTCAACAAGAATGGTAACATTTATCGAGCACTTACTAGGTGCCAGGCAATGTTCCAAGCACTTTGCCTCCTTATTCACAGGGACACATTCCAAGACCCCCAGTGGATGTCTGAAAGCACAGATAGTCCGGAACCCTGTATGTACTCTGTGTTTTCCTAGACACGCATGAGATAATTTACAGCTTCTCTTTGGCATATCCAAATTGGTAGCATCACTACGCGCTTTGGAGCCATTATTTAAGGGTTACTTAAACACAAGCACTGTGGCAGCGTGACAGTTGGTCTGATAACTGGGACGGCCACTGAGTGACTAACTGTGGAGCATATGCAGCGTGCGTGTGCTGGACAGAGGGACGAATCGGGTTCTGCACAGGACAGAGCAGGAGCGCTCGAGATTTCATCACCCTACTCAGAACAATATGCAATTTAAAACGCATGCATCGCTTATGTATGGAGGTTTCCATTTAATATTTTAGGACCATGGTTGACCGTGGGTAACCGAAACCGCGGATAAGGGAGGACTATTGTATTCGCTCATATCGTCTCTCATCAGTGGTAGAAGTTCATAACTGTTATTATCACCTCCATCTCACACATGATGAAAGTAGCCTCAGAAAGTAACCTGAGTTAACACTGACTTGCCCAGCATCAAGCTAGTGAAAGGCAGAGCTGGGATTTGAACCCAAGCCTGCTGGCTCTCGTGCCTGTGCTCTTTGTCACTGTGTCCATAGCACCTCCCTAAAGAGCCAGGCAGTCCAGGAGTCAGTTGGGCAAGAGTGAAGCCACAGTCCGTTGAGCCAGATCCCCAGCCTAGAACAGTTGCTCAAATAATAAATGAGACTGTCTATCTGATAACCAAGTGTGTCTGTGTGTGTGTGTGTGTGTGTTCACGCGTGCCCTTGTTGAATTAAAGGATGGAATTAAAAGATGGCAGGAGCCGAGTGGGGCAAATGCAGGAGGCCTGTTGAGGACAGGAGCCAAGCAGGGAGCACCCCTGAGTGTCCCAGAGTCCAGAGCAGATGAACGTCCATGCTGAGGTTAACCTGTGTTCCTGCTTAGGCTGCAAACCACCTTAAAAAGCCCCCGAACTGAGAGTAGAACTCAGTGGGGAGAATCCATTCCTGTCCAAAGACAATGGCAGGAAGTGGGGTGTGGGGCTCTCTCGGGGGAGCTCCCCTCCCCCACCCTGCAGCCCAGGAGACGCATGGCTGGAGGCAGCCCCATCATTCCAAAGGAAACTTCATTTGAAGAGTTGTCAGGAGCAGCGGACATCACAAACGGCGTCTCCTGTGTTGTCCTCCCTCCGTCTTGGAAGATGAAAATTAATTAGGAGATGAAACAGGAGGCCTTTGAAAGCTCCGGTCGGCTGTAACACTATGTAGGCAAAATGTGAAGGAGAACGTTGAGGAAGCGGGCTCTTTGTGGGCGGGCTGGGCAGCTGTGAAGGGAGAAGCTATCAGAAGACAGCTTCTCCCAAGAGTGAGCCCTCTTTGGTGTTGGTGTTGGGGTGGGGGGGGCACAGCACATGTGTGTGGGAGAGCCGCTTCAGAAAGGATGGGAGCTAGGGGCCATGAGTTACAGGCTCTCCGGGTCCCTGGCATTGCCAAGCCCTCCCCCTTGCACAGCCTTGCCCCGTCCCAGCACCCGAGCCTGGAAGGCACTTGGAGAGGCCATTCAGTCCACCACACCCCCCTCTCAGCTGCTCTGCACTCTTCTGTGAGCTGGAGGGCTCAGGGGGCACCCCGACCTCAGCTTCCGTTTCTCCTGCTGTGTCTGCTGGCCTCTCTGATGGTGCCTTCTCCCTGTTTTCCATCCACAGTGGGGTGGGAAGACCAAACTGCACTGACCAGGCAGAGCTTGGTGGGGTGCCCCTGGCACAGTCAAGTCGCCTCAGTCTGAAAGTAAG